GCTCATAGCCTCCTATATGTGGTGGCAGGGTGGTAGTTTGCGTCCTTTCGGCTCGCGAACGCCTGCAGACACGACTCCGACAGCAATGCTCCTCGATACAACGAACGTCGTCTTGAAACCGTTATGGCCAATCTTTTTTCTTCCTTCCCTTCTTCTCCCACGATTGTGTTCAGAGCCATATAAAATATTTGTGCAGTCACTCCCACGTTGGTAAATGTGCTGTGAAAAAAAAAAACAGGAAAAGCAAGTGTTCTCATTTTCACTCTGTCTCTCTAGCCTGAGGTCGCATTCCTGCAAACAGATGCGGGACTACAATCTCTGGTACCAAACACGAATTATCATTCACTAAATAATTAATGCCTTTCTCTCGTTTTTAGAAAATTGATTGTGTCGACTACAACGAATTCAATGCGTTTGTGATTTTCTCTTAAACTGAGAATTAACTTGTGATTCCCCATAGTTCTTTCACAAAATTACATGTAGTCCATTCTCTTCTTGTATGAGTATCTTTTATCAACTGTTAGAAATTCAATTGTTTTTGACTCTTTTGGTTCGTTTTAACCTCTTAATGATTTCCTTATCCGTACCACGAACATCCTATCATTCATTTCTACTCTAATAAATAGCTTATCTCCACTCCCCGACCTGACCTGACCTTACTTTCCCCTGTCTTTGCGGCCGCTTGGAGAGAACTTTCCCTAATTGTTTTTTTTTTTCTTTGTCCACACCATAGGGATGTACGGCCGTTACTTTGCTCAATGGTGACGCGTTCTGTTGGCGCTAGAACAGAACTTGTAACACGATTATTCATGAGCATTAACTGAACATAGTGTTTATATGAACCGTATTCATGTTAACAAATGTGGAAAGGTATGAATGAGATATAATCGAAACCGGTTAAATACATCTCTTGTATTGTGAAGATATTCGTTCTCATTCATACCTTTCTACATAGTGTTTGTATCTGCCCCATATCTTGGTGTACAGGATTGCTGGATATAATCTGTGGTTGCGTGTATCTCCCAATAGAGCTGCGTTCCGGCAGACGAGAGCAGGTTAGAAGTAAAACGGAGGTTACTGGGTCGATCGTTAACCGTTAACGAGTTGGTGTGTGACCTGATTTGCGTCTGTTTATAAGTGCAGGACAAGGGTTTTGAAGTTAGAACGGTGATTCGCTTATTAATCACCCCTTACTGACGTCACGCATATCTTTTTCTGGTATATATATATATATATATATATTATATATATATATGTATGTTTGTATATACAGATAAATAAGAATATATATCTATATGTTTATGTTTATATAGAATTATGTATATATACACTCATATAAGTATTTATATATACATATATATATATATATATTTATATATATATATATATATATATACATTATATATATATATATATATATATATATATATATATATATATATATCAAATAAATCAAAGTGTAGAAAGATATCAGATAAAGATGTATAGATAAATAGATGGAAAGACAGATAAATGCAAGTATCAAGCGGATAGACAAATAATAACGAAATTCATATAAGTAAAGAAAATATAGACAGGTATACATTAAGAGACAAAAACAATGAAATATCTTTATACTTTATATCTTTATATTTTTCCTTTCCTTGCTTTCGCCGCCATGAAACGGTTTGTTACGCATCAGCATTCTGACCTGCTTTCCTCCGTCGCTGAAGTTCTTGGACAAATTATGAACTTTGCAATATCGTGCATGGATTATAGGTCTGAAAACGTGTTTTGCAATCCGCTCGTTTCAGTATGTTAATCGTTATGTTTGTGTTCGCCGACGTGTGTATGCGTTTGTCTATTTCTTGTTTGCTTGGCTGTTTATTTTTCCAGTGAAATGTCCTTGGTGAGGAAAATTGTGAACGCAATGGTTTTTCTTCTTCCTTTCCTTTTCCTTTTCAAGCAGTTTCCAGGTAAAAAAATCAGGTTTTCTTGCGCGTTGCAGGTGTTATTATCGTAATATACTGATTTATTTGTTTATATGTTTACTTTCTCATTAAAGCAAAGCCACCTCTAAGTAGTTGGTGATTAGCTTTAAGGCTACTCGACTTAATAATATCATTACGGTAATTATAGCAATCAATCTCTTGATCATGAAGTGATCCTAATTACCCAGGCTAATCTGTCATTATTCGTCACCAATCTGTCAATTTGTCAAATATCACTTAGAATTGAAAAACAAAATGCATAAAGAACCATCAAATCATACAAAGAATCAAACACACAAAGGAAATAGGATTGCACGTGTCTATGCATTTATAAAACATATGAGCAGAGGGAGTCTTCAAACGCTATCTTTCATATAACACAATATAAGGACTAACATCTGGCTCTAAAGGTAATATGTGAATCTACAACAACAACGATTTTGTCTGGATAAAGAAATTGTGTGTGTGTGTGCGTTTGCGTGTATGCGCGTGTGGGTTTACACTTAATGTGCGTATGTGTGTGTTTGTGT